ATAATAATATAATAATAATTATTATAATAATCAAGGCACCCATGAGGCATAGGGAGAGAGGACTTGGTAGTAACTGGGACGTGGCCTTGCCTTCTCTGCCTTCTGAACAGCCAGTTCTGTTTGTTCAGCTCCTATGAAAGGGCAACAGGACTTTCTGGGATTTTCAGGCATAACCCTGAAGTTCAGGTAGAAGTTGCTGTCCCCAAATCTATTGAGCCAGGGGCTTGTAGCCTTCCCAAAGGGGAACATAGTGGACGCATGGCTAGCAGGGACTGAAAAGGGAAGCCCAAGCAGCTGGATATCAACCCCCATTTATAGCAATACCTCTGTGGGGTATGTGAGAGAGCAAAAGCTCACAATATTATGGGGAGCACTGAAGAGGGCCTAAGCCCCAAGCAGGATGAGTCAAGAGGATTCTGGCTCCTGAGCACTGTAAGCAGATGCCAAAGAGGCATCTCTGGCCCCTTCATGAGGTGGGCCTGCGGTGCCAGGAAGCCAAGCCCACCAGGTGGCAGCAGAGAACCAGTCAGTGGCCAGAGAGGTCTAACAGGTACAAATCCCAACCCTGGGGCTGGTGTGGGGGCCAGGGTAGGGGCTGTGCCATCTGAACTGCCTCACAGTAACAGTTCACACTTTTGTTGCTAAGCATATTCTGTGCTGGGTGCTGTACCAAGCACTTCCAACAGGATCTCATTTAACTCTGACCATGAACCTATGAAGCAGATGCTGCTATTACCCCTTTCATTTCAGATGCATGCACTGGGGCTTTCAGAGGTTTGCGAGTTGCCCAAGGTCACACACACTGAAGAGATGAAGTGCAGGTGGTTTGGACTCTACAGCTCCTGCTGTTAATTTGGGACTATATTGCCAGGGGAGAAAAGGAAGCCACTTGAAGTGTTGAAAGTGAAGGCAGGTAGGGCCTGACTGGGGCTGGCTCTGGTGTGGACTCTGAGGCCCGAGGCCAGCTCATGAACAGACACTAAAAGCCTAGTTAAAGGGACCTTCTAGGGGGCTTCCAGGAAACAGGATGTGGTAGGATTTTCAAGTTGAGGTGCCCAGGGAACCCCTATTTGAAGAAGTGAGAGCCAGGTTATCCTGTTCACATAACCCCAAAAGGGCTGGGCACCTCAGAACTGCAAACCACTCAAAGACCCAAACGGATGCCTGTGAAAGAGATGGTCAGGTCTCCCTCGTTGAGCTCATAAAGCAAACAAGGGCCAGGTGTGGTGGCTCATGCCTGTAATCCCAGCACTTTGGGAGGCAGAGGTGGGCGGACCACTTGAGGTCAGGAGTTTGAGACCAGCCGGCCAACATAGCAAAATCCTGTCTCTACTAAAAATACAAAAACTAGCTGGGTGTGGTGATACGTACCTGTGGTCCCAGCTACTTAGGAGGCTGAGGCAGGAGAATCGCCTGAACCCAGGAGGTGGAGATTGCAGTGAGCCGAGATCACACCACTGCACTCCTGCCTGGGCAACAGAACGAGACTGTCCCCCAACCCACCCACCAAAAAACAAACAAAAACCTCAAAGAAGCTCGAGAGCATGTTCCCAGACTGGCCATAGTGTGCCCAACATGCTGAGTCTGGTCCTATAGCGTCCTCTGGGGGAGGGGATGATGCCAGTTGCCTGTCATCTCCACCCTGGAAGAATGCCAGGGCACACTCAATCCCCAAGTCAGCTCACATCACCAGAGAACTTGAATGAGACCTGGGAACGTCACCTTGCCCTGAGATCCAGGTCAGTACTCCCTCCGCTGTGGTCTTGCCACCAGTCATCTATGGGCCAGGCTATTGTAGAACCTAGTGAGTGCAATGGACTTTTCAGTTCAGAACTTCATCCCTCTTTGTAGACTAGTACTCACCACTAGGACTTTCTGGGATTTTCAGGCATAACCCTGAAATTCAGGATGAACTTGCTCTCCCCAAATCTATTGACATCAGGGGCTTATATCCTTCCCAATTTTTGTGCAAAATTCCCTGAGACAGCCTCCGCTCTGGGAACCCAGTCTAAGTCATGCTCTATTGTTCTGCCTCAAGATCTCCAACTGGTTGTTCTCTCTTTCTGAAATGCTCTCTCTCCATCTTTTCATGGCTGACTCCTTCTTACCATTTAGGTCTCAGTTTAAATTGTCCCTCCTTTACAGACAGGCTGTCCCTGCTTTGCCTAATAAAGATCAACCCTGCTGTGTTTTCTTTCCCCCTTACCATTTTCAGAGGTGACTATCCAGTATCCAATGGGTTGGTACTGCCCTTACACAGGATAGCCTTTGTTCATAGCTCACAATGGAAAACAGAAAAATCATAGGATCTGAAAGGAATGGGTCCTCAGGTGTTATGGGGAAGGGGACCTTAGTGGTCATTTAATCTAAATCTTGAGCTGCTACGACAGTCATATTCAGGTGGTTTTTTTTTTTTTTTCTTTGTTTTGTTTGTTCACAATGGCTATGGAGAGCTGGTGAGCAAAGGTGACTGTTGTGTCCCACTGAAATGCTTCTGGGCTATCCAAGGTAGATCATGATGTTAAGTAGAATCAGCTATGGGGTCAACTATTAGGTGAGTGCAAAAGTAACTGTGGTTTTTGCACTGTCGGACTTTGCTATTTGATATTAAATACATTCTTAAATGTGGTTATGTTATATATCATTTTAATGAGAATTTCCTGCTTTTTGTATTTTTGCTAATGACTTTATTACTTGCTCTTTGTTGTATGTTTATTTTAGGCTATGGAAATGATGTTAGACAAAAAGCAAATTCGAGTGATTTTCTTATTCGAGTTCAAAATGAGTCGGAAAGCAGCAGAGACAACTTGCAACATCGACAACGCATTTGGCCCAGGAACTGCTAACAAACGTACAGTGCAGTAGTGGTTCAAGACGTTTTGCAAAGGAGACAAGAGCCTGGAAGATGAGGAGCATAGTGGCTGGCCATTGGAAGTTGACAACGACCAGCTGAGAGCAATCATCGAAGTTGATCCTCTTTCAACTAAACGAGAAGTTGCCGAAGAACTCAACGTCAATCATTCTACAGTTGTTCAGCATTTGAAGCAAATTGGAAAGGTGAAAAAGCTCATTTAGTGGGTGCTTCATGAGATGAGGGAAAATTTTAAAAATGGTCTTTTTGAAATGTCTTCTCTTATTCTACACAACAAGAAGGAATAATTTCTCAATCGAATTGTGATGCACAATGAAAAGTGGATTTTATATAACTGGCAATGACCAGCTCAGTGGCTAGTCCGAGAAGAAGCTCCAAAGCACTTCCCAAAGCCAAACTTGCACCGAGAAAAGGTCATGGTCACTGTTTGGTGGTCTACTGCTGGTCTGATCTGCTACAGATTTCTGAATCCTGGTGAAACCATTACATCTGAGAAGTATGCTCAGCAAATCAATGAGTTGCACCGAAAAGTGCAACACCTGCAGCCAGCTTTCGTCAACAGAAAAAGCCCAATTCTCCATGACAACACCTGACTACGTGACACACAGCCAATGCTTCAAAAGTTGAACAAATTGGACTATGAACTTTTGTCTCATCTGCCATATTCACCGGACCTCTCATCAACTGACTACCACTTCTTCAAGCATCTTAACAACTTTTTGCAGTGAAAATGCTTCCACAACCAGCAAGGTGCAGAAAATGTTTTCTAAGAGTTCATCAAATCCTGAAGCATGAATGTGTATGCTACAGGAATAAACAAATTTATTTCTCATTGGCAAAAATGTCTTCATTGTAACGGTTCCATTTTGATTAATAAAGATGTATTTGAGGCTGGGTGTGGTGGCTCATACCTCTAATCCCAGCACTTTGGGAGGCTGAGGCAGGTGGATCATGAGGTCAGGAGATCAAGACCATCCTGGCCAACATGGTGAAACCCCGTCTCTACTAAAAATACAAAAATTTGCCAGGTGTGGTGGCATACATCTGTGGTCCCAACTACTCAGGAGTCTGAGGCAGGAGAATTGCTTGAACCTGGGAAGCGGAGGTTGCAGTTAGCTGAGACGCCACCACTGCACTCCAGACTGGGCGACAGAGCGAGACTCAATCTCAATAAATAAATAAATAAATAAATAAATAAATAAATAAATAAATGTGTTTGAGCCTAGTTATAATGATTTAAAATTCATGACCCGAAACCACAATTACTTTTGCACCAACCTAAGAGATGTCTAAGTAGGTCATATTCCACCTGCAAAGAGAAAATTCCATCTATCCCTTGCAGATGCATGGAAACTCACTGTCTCCAGTGGACAGTTAACTCCAAGGGCATCACAGAGAACTCATGGAGCTCAGCTGAGGAGGTTTCAGGGATTTTTCTATTTCCTTTTCTTCATCATGAGAGTCTGGTACTAGATGCTCTCCAGACCTGAGCCTAAAGACTCTTCAGTCCTTTGAGATGAAGATGAGGGAGGGAATAGGAAACCCAGTTTAGTTTGGATTTCAGATCCTTTTGTGGTTCATACGTGTGATGATTAGGTTTCCATGTTCATGTGTGAGATCTGCCTCCCTCAAACCGTGTTACAATGACATGGGCGCCTTACCTATCTGACATGAAAAAAGCAAATGTGGATTTCAGACAAACAAAAAATAACTTTTTTAGTTTATGTCCCATAGAATATGTGGACATATTTATCCTAAAAATATTGTATGGGACATAGTTGTATTAAGAAACTGTTCATTGTTTATCTGAAGTTCAAATTTAACTGGGTATCCTATATTTTATGTGATGTGGCAGTCTTATGGAGGAGGGGCCAACATTTAAAATAAATGGCTTCCCTAGGATAGAGCACTGGGACTGGGGAAAACAGAGGCCGCAGTCAGCTGTGACTTTTTGAAGGAAGGAATGAAGTTGGTTTCTTTCATGCCAATTAAGCAATTACAGACGACCCTGTCAGAAATCTAAACCTGTGACTATCATGGGACTCAAGACCAGGAAAAAAAATAAGTCAAAAAGATTAAGAGCCAGAGAAGCAGTCTTCACACATGCGGCCAGCCAGCGGACGGAGTACTCTCAGGAAGGTAAGAGCATTGCCCTCTTGCTATAATCATAGTCCTTTTCTTCCAGAATAGGATTTGGGAAATTCTGGTGAAGTCCTCTGCCTACCCTCATTGCCCCACTGATGTGTGACGTCAACAGAATTTCTCTGCAACGTTTGTCAGTCTCCAACTTCAGAGGGCTCACAAAGTCTCCTCCTGAATCCTCTCTCAGTCCTCTAAGACTACCAAGAAGAAAAGCAACTATTCAAGATGGCAGCTTGCCGGGGAGAAGCAGCCTCCCTGAGGTAGATGTGTTCTTCTGTCACTTAAAGAACCACTTCTTCTGGTCTGAGTAGTAAGAGGCGCGTTTGCTGTTGCTGCACCATTTGCCAAGGTTCTGAGCTTGAGGTATGGGATGTATGAAAACAATTTAATGAAGAATTAAGTTTCCATTCTGTCATTTTGAACACAGGGTTCACTCCTATATTATTCACTTGAGAGGATCAGTGAGTTTGACTTTAATTTCTTTTTTTACAACTGGGAAGGGTAAATTACACATAAAATGTCCCAGTGGAAAGGGGTCATGTGGTGAAATCCCCACTCTTCTCTCCCACCCCTCCCTGCTGTTTTAAACTGGAGCTCATTAATATAATTCTATGGGGATCAGACCTTTGAAATTCCTGAGAACAGTAAGAGAGCAGAAAAATACACAATAACAAGGAAAGGAGCTTCCATTATTGGTTTTTAATGAGCATACTTGAATTACGGCCACTGCAGTTTATGGACAGTTTTTGTTGTTGTTCATTTGTGTATGTTCTAGTTAAAAAAAAAAAAAATGCTAGCCAAGGGACTTGAATCAGAGAGAAGCAGAAATTGACTTAAGTAGGAAGCGAAACACATTGTTAGATAAAGTCAGGTCCTGGGCTTCCTCAGCTTGTTTTGGGTGGAGTGCCTGGTGACAAGCTGAAGCCCCTGTGTGGGGTGGTTTCCTTTGCTGAAAAGCTGGGCTGGAAGATGCTGTGCTCAGCGCTCAACCTCATGCACCCTCGCAAGGCACAGGCAACAGGTGCTCTGGGAAACATACATTATGTATCATAGCCTCTGTCTGTCTGTGGACTGATATCCAATAATAACTTTGGAGAAAAATAACTCCTCTTATTTTATTAGCCACAGCCCTGGGCCAGGGAAGGTGGAGAATCAGTAAAAATGCATTGTTTGTTTGTTTCTCTAGAAGTTTATGGTGCAGAGTCAAATTGAAGGCACATGAAGAACATTTTTTCACCAAATAATAACTGAGTCTTTTTGCTTTCGTTTGTAGTTTCTTCTTTGAACTTTAGTTAGTAGGAGGGGTTAGAAACCTGAGCTATTGTCAAAGCCCTTGATATCAATGAAAGAAGCAGGTGCAAATCTCCTCACAGAGAGAAACCAAAGGGTCCTGACTGTGGATATTGGTCATCTAGTAAGGATGCTGTTGTGGGTCTTTATGAGACGATGAACAGGGTGGCTTTGGATGCATTAATGATGCCCACATGCTTCTTCTGTTAGGTGTCCTGTGCCCTGACCCTACAAGATGCCAAGAGAAGATGCTCACTTCATCTATGGTTACCCCAAGAAGGGGCACGGCCACTCTTACATCACAGCTGAAGAGTAAGTTCAAAACCAGACCCAGCAGGGCTTCCAGTTTGCCATTTGCTGACACAGCCTGCTGACTTCCATCAGCACATGCCTGCTCATAAATCTCCCTAGTGTTTATCTCCCCAGACAGTAACATCCCTGGCAACAAGGGGAGGAGATTCTGTGCTTCTACAAGGGGCTCAGTCAAGCTTCTCTGAGGCCAAATAGGCAGGAAGATGGGAATGGTATAAGGTTGGATCTTGCCATTTTGGGGTGCACTTTGACTACTGGGCCTTATCTGTAGGTTCCCAAGTGGAAAAACATCTGTTCAGAGTCACAATGCCTCTTTCCTCAATCCTTGTTCTGTCTCCTCCACTCAAGCTCCTGAAGGTGGTTTGCAGACAGAATAAAAGTGAGTTGCCAAGGAGCCAGTGAGGATGATGGGCAGGTGCATGTGACTCAGCCTACAGCCAGACTCGAGAGGAAGACTGAAGTCACAGCCTTTGCAGCATAACTTTATCCTAAGGAAAGGTGTTGGATATTATGAGTGAATTAAAAATAACTATTTATATGATTAAGCATTTCTAAATGCTAAGCATTATATACTGGCCTGAGATACTGTTTTTATCTTTGAAAAAACTCACAACCTAGTGGGAGAGTTAGGCATGAGATTAATTTCAGCAAATATAAGTGTGGTGATGAAAACCCAGAGGCTGCAGGGACATACTCTGTACGTGCTGGGGGTGGGAAAGGGACATACTCTGTACGTGCTGGGCTGCGGGGGCAGGGGAGGCCCCACCCTCTGCGTGGGACTCCAACAGGACAATACCCTCTTATGTGGTCTGTCCAGAACTCCCTGCGAACCTGCTCTTTCTTTGGAAAGAGCTGTTGAACCATCTTTAACAGTCAACCGCAGGGACCAGCAAGATGTAAGACCCAACAAAGGTACTGAGGAAGAATTCAGCATTTCCTCAGAAGACCCTGGTATAGGATCCTCTAATATCCCTGGCCAGTTGGAGTTGAGGGCAGCGGTATCTTCTCAGAAAATGTCCTGAGAGCAAAAATATACTCTTTGAGGGAGGGGAGCCCATTGGCCATGGTATTAGTTAATCATTTCAGCTTCCGTATAATCACTCAACAGACTCTTCTTTAAAATAAAGTTTTATGTCTCGTGTAAAAATTCAAGAGTAAAGAGTTCAAGGCCTGTTCCTTTTCTTCTTGCTGGTTACTCCCCTGGGATGTCGCTTTTGTCTCCATGGCTGAAGATGTTGTGCCATCACTTCCACATCTTGCCAACAGAAAGCAGGAGGTGAAGGACAGGCTAGGACCATTCCTTTCAAGGGACACACGTCACTTCTGCTTATTGCTCCACCCCCGCCCACCCCCTCCCCCGTGGCACCTGTGGGTATCATTCTTGCTGTGTTGTAAATGAAGAAAGGTTTAGAGAAATTAGGAAATGTGTGGCCAGACATGGTGGCACTGGGATTTAAATCCAGGTCTGCTTGTCCCCAGAGTCCATGCTCTTAAGTGTTATGCTGCAGGCCAGCAGAGGCAAATATTTGCACAATCCCATCCAACAAGAGGCTAGGGCAGAGGTCAGTATCTCTCAGTGTGAAGCTGGAGGCTGATGCTTGTCAGCTCAGTAGGCTGAAAGCGGAGTTGTCCTTTGCCATGTAGGGCCATCACGCCCAGCTGGGGAACCTCATAGCCAGGTGTACCCACAACCTGAACAAGGTAACTTTCAGGGTCTAGTCAGGAAGAAACCAACTAGGTGGTTCAACATACAGACTTTAATATAAGAAGCTGGTTAAACAGGCATGGGACTGAGACTGAGGAGGCAAAGAAGGCACAGGGGTAACCAATGCTGTGCCCACAGAATGCTGCTTCTACCCCTATGTCTAGGGGAACAAAGGGAAGGGTGAGGCCATCAGGACCTAGAATTGGGAGGAGGGAACCCACAGAAATGGGACCCAGATCTCTAAGGAGAGATTTCTGTTTGGCTGGTTCTGGTGTCTCCGGAGCTTAGAAGTGAGGGGCAATGAATCAAATACTCATGCCTCTGAGGTGGGAGCACTGGTCAGCCAGTGCTCTGCTGGGGAGGGGCATAATGAAGCTGGCTCTGAGAATGCCAGAAAACAAGCTGGTGCTTGGCATGTACAGACAATGTCAGCATTGCTGGGGTGATGATGACAGGAGCAGGAAGCACACTGGAAGGAGCTGCTCCTTCCTGACCTCCTAGGTTTGCAGGCCCTCTCTAGAGTTCTCCAATGGGAGCCAGTGGGCAAAGGAGAAGTGGCATTTGCAGAGTCCAGTTCCAGCATCAGAGAGCAGAGCATAGAAAGGTGGGTTTGGAGGTGAGGGACAATGTCTTAATAAAGGGCAAAGGGGGTTATGACCATTATCATGTGAAGGAATCCCTTGACTGAAGGCACAAGCTTTCTGTGTCTTGCAACTTGAATGATGTGCATAAGCAGGGTCAGGTGGGTTATCTGACATTTTCCTTGCGAACAGGAGGGAACCTCTGGATTCCAGCACAAAAGAAAAATACCCACTCAACCCATATGTGTGGGAGCCATCTCTCTATAAAGAGAAAGTAATTCCTTTTGACATTTTGCTGTCTATAGAAGGGTCAGATAGCCAAAGCTTCCAGCACATTGAAACACTTAACTTCAGACTGTGAGTGAGGGAACCCCTGAATACATGGAACATCATGATCTTGTGCAGGTACTGAAGGAGATCCGTCCAGAAAATAAGTAACTGCACACGGCACCAATGTCAAAACTCATTCCTCTCATGAAAAGTCCCTGCCCCCGTTGCTGTTTGTTTAAATAGGTGGGATGGAGGTAGGGGAATGGGGCCATCTTCTTTTTTTTTTAAATTTTTTTGCATAAAATCAGGATCCTGCACAACAGGGCCAACTTCATTAAAGCAATGCATCCCTAAGATATGAGACTATTTATCCTTCTCACAATTGTGCCAGCAGGTGGAATGAGGAAGAATGATGCAAATTAAGTTCCCACATCCAGCCAGGAAGGACTACATATCTGCTTTGAGTATTATCAATCTCTTTGAAACCTCAGTGGAGAGCAGTTCTCACAGTTGAGTGGACACAAGTCATCCATGGAACTTGTTAAAATGCAGATTCTTAGGTGCTGCCACCTAAGAGGCTGATTGGGTAGGCCAGGGGTGGAGTCCTATGATCTGCACCTCAGCGTGCATCTCAGGTGATTCTGCTGCAGGTGACATTTGGAAGACACTCTGAGGAGCCCTGCCAAACTGGGCAGTGGGTTCTTCCAATATGTGTGGCATACCCTGGTGCTTTTCGCTGTCAGTCACTTGGGCATGTTGTGAGCACCATGTGACGATGCATAAAGTGCTGGAACAGAGCTCTGTCTGTGTCAAGATGTTCAAGCGGATGCCACAGGGTGAAATGAGAGCACAGGCATGTTGGGAGTTGAATCAGCTGCCTTCAGTCATGAGAACACACTTGTGACAGCTTCAGTTCAGGAAAGAGTGACTCTGCAGGAAAAGCACTGGCCTGGGAGACCTGGATCTGGCCCAAATTCTGGTGCTCACTTGCTAAGTTTCCAGTGCCAGTTGCTGTGAATGTTGGTTCTGCCACTTACTGGTTGTGCAGCCCTGGGCATTTGACCAGCATAACATCAGTTATAAAATGAACACCATTCCTACCTCAGAGGACTGTGGTTAGGATGAAATAAAAGCATATATGTGGGGCTGTCTAGCCCAGTGCCTGGCACAAATTGGTGCTCAATGAATGGTAGTCACTATGGTGATGGTAATGTTGATGAATCTTCATAGGTCTCAGCTTCCTGATCTATAAAGTGGGTGGACTGACCTGCATAAGTCAGAGTTTCCATCTAGCACTGTCATCCCATGGTTCTCTCCATCCCGTTTGCAGACGGACAGGATAAGCTTGATGTCTCCTCAGCCTTGAGACAGAAGTTGTCCAGTAGATGGTACTGAGCAAAAGTCTCTCCAGGAGAAGCCTTAAACTTTGCTTCTCCTGTAGCTGCTCAGTCTCTTATAAGTCACCCAGCTCAGCAGAAACTTTCTTAGCGAGTTGACAACCACAGATAACAGAGTCAATTCTGTCGATTTTGATCATGCTGTGATCAAGTAGATGTTAGCTAACTGAAGATGCTTGCCAGGAGTGAACAGCTCCAGGCCCTGTTTTCAGGGTCTCTGTGGTAACTGTAATGCTTCCCAGGGGTCACTGAACACAGGGCCCAAGAGGCTGGTGTAGACCCCCAGATTGGCACCCTGCTGCTTAGACAAGATCCTTCTCAATAAGTAATGCTACGGCTTTGCTGTAGGTTCAGCCCAGACACTTCTCCCTAGGGCTGCAAGGAGCAAAGCGGGGAGTTTAGGGAAGGGAGGGCACGAACATAATTGAGACGGATTCAGGTTCAGATCCAAGCTCTGTTTTGTGCTAGCTCTGTATGATCACCAGTGAGTCATGTATCCTCGGCCTTTTATTTCCTCATCTGTGAAAATAGGGGATGACAAATGGTGTCTACCCTCCAGTGTTGATGTGAGAATTGAATAAGCTAATGAATGTTTAGTACAGCACCTGGCTTTTAGTAGATGAGTCAGTGTTCATTTCTATTTTCTTTTTGTGGGCTGAATTAGAGAAAATGTTCTAAAACAGCCTGATGAGAAGAAAAGATAATTTAGCCCCACTAAATACACTGTCCACATAAAGACCAGTTACTATGGCACTTCTTGTACCTGGAACTTGGGTGCCTGGGCCATGTCAATTAGCAGTGCTCCTGTGGGCACACACTTGAGAGGCTCCTAGATAAAGACCTGCACTAGATCCAGGTGCTGGAGGCCTGGTGGGGTGCCCAGTGTGGGAGGTGGGAAACTACCTGGACACTGGGAGATGCTGCTCTGGGCAGTCAAAGCCCACATGAAGAGAAAGACTGATTTATGCTTCATCATAATGTAGAACAATGTTTCAATGACAAAGCGGATTTGTCTATCTCTTGGGCCAGGGCCGCTGGGATTGGCATCCTGACAGTGATCCTGGGAATCTTACTGCTCATCGGCTGTTGGTATTGTAGAAGACGAAATGGATACAGAGCCTTGATGGTTGGTATAGTTCCCACAGCTGAAATCCCTCCAGGTCCAGGGCCCTCTTTCCAGTTCTTTCCTCTGAGTCTCTGCAGAGTCAGATAATTGCCTCGTTACAACCTCTAGCTCTGATTCCACCTTCTGATGCCTCTTTTGCTACATTGTACTTTGGCAACTCTTCCTTTGCTTCTGCTCAGGCATGAACCCCAACCAGGAACTTGCCCTGTGCCTTAGTCTGTGACTATAACAGAATACCAGAGACTGTAATTTATAAATAAATGAAATTCATTTGGTTTACAGTTGTGGAGGCTGGGAACTCCAAGATCTAGGGGCCACACCTGGTGAGGCCTTCCTGCTGTGTCACATCATAGTGGAAGGCATCACATGGGCAAGAGAGTGACAGCAAGAGGGAGCTGAACTCATTTTTTTTTTTTTTGAAACAGGAAATCTTGGGATGGAACACAGTGGTGATCATGAGTCACTGTAGCCTTGACCTCCTGGGCTCAAGCCATCCTCCTGTCTCAGCCTCCAGAGCAGTTGGGACTACAGGCATGTGCCACCACACCCGGCTAATTAAAAAAACTTTTTTTTTTTTTTTTTTTTGTAGAGACGAGGTCCCACTATGTTGCCCAGGCTGGTCTCAAACTCCTGGGCTAAAGAGATCTTCCTGCCTCGGCCTCCCAAAATGTTGAGACTACAAGTGTGAAACACTCCACACACAGCCCAAACTCACTTTTATAACAAACCTACTTTTGCAATAACAAACACACTCCTGCAATAACATTAATCCATTCATGAGGACAGAGTCTTCATGACTTAATCACCTCTTAAAAGTCCTACCTCTCACCATTGTTGCACTGGGGATTAAATTTCCAATACATGAATTTTGGGGGACACATTCAAACTATAGCGCCTGTCTTTTTGGTTCTACTCACAGCAAACTTGGATACCTGGATGTTGTGTACAGCTAAGCACTGACGGTTTATAGGGCACAGGGGAAGGGGGTTGAGGTTCCCTTATAGCAAACAGGAGTATTCTTACACACCTAAGGTTTTACCACTTCTGAGAATTCTTGCTGGTTCTGTTACTCCACTTTGTGACCTGGTCTTCTTACCTTGCTTCTTTACCCCTTTCCTCACTGGTTACCTGTGAATTCCAAATTCTTCTGACTCTACACTAAGCATCCCAGGATATCATCAGTGCAATGAGGAAACCATCCTCCCTGCATCAGCACAAAAGGTCACTGTGTGTTTTTTAACAGGTTGCATCCTTCTTAGATGGCCAAAGGTTTTAATAGTATTTTCTTTCTTTTTTACCCAAATATGCAGGAAGCGAACACAATTACACAATCCAGTCTTCTGGTACCAGTATCCTCCATGAATGGGAAACATCAACTGAGTTTATAAGCTATAAAAACTACAGATTTCAGCAATCTTGCTTCAAAGCTAGGTAGCACTTTAGCACTTCAACACCCAAAGGCATTCTCCATAGATCTCGATCTCTCTCTCTCTCTCGTTATTACAGATCTGAGAGCTTTTTCAGGTTGATGCAAAATGGAAAAAAATTATCTTTACAAAAGATGTTGGAAAGTCCCATTCCTCATTCAGCAAGCACTTCATTTAGAGGAAAAGGTCCTGTGAAAGATAGGAGGGTTGGTGTGGGGTAGGGATTGAAGCTTGGCAAGCTGATAAGAAGGAGAAGGTGAGAGATGCAACTCTGGATTCTTTCCCTCTTTGCCAAGAAACTTGGGCAGTCTCATGTCTCCTGTTCCCCAATGTCTGTCTTTCCAGAGCATAAATACAAATACAAACCATAAAAGGCAGGGCAAGTTTGGGGGCTGACACACCCACCGAGCATAGCCCTCTAGTGTGCTGACATTTAGAGGGAAGGAGGAGGAGGAGTTGATGAATCTGAACAAGACTCCAATATTGGAGGAAATACTTGAGGAAAGCCTTGGGTTAGAAAGTTAGGTATAGAATTCCTGCTCATATGGCTGTCCACAACAGGTTAGTAGGGGAGGACTTTAATCTCTGCCATATAATTCCATTTGTAACTCTAGCATGGGGTTATGACACTGCCTTGTAATTGGCTATTTACTGTTTGCCTCTTCTACCCTTCTGCTTTCCCCATGTATGAACCAGAACAGAGAATATTTCTTACTCATCTTCATATCTCCAATGCCCAGCACAGTGCCTGGCACATAGTGGTCACTTAATTGTGTGGCATTAGGACTTGGTCCCACTGTCTGCCATTGAGTTGCTTGGAGACTAGAATGCAACTTCTCCAAGACTCACTAGCTCTATCGTACACCCACACACGTTGGAAATCTGTGATGTAACACAATGTATATCCATTTTTATTTAATACATATTTTCTTCTATATTTTGATTTCATTATATATTTGTATATCAAAAACATGTTTAGTCTTTCAAGAACTAAAGCTATACAAACTCAGTATATTGGTACTCATTTCCTAACTAACTATAATTATTAGCTTGATCCTACTGAACACAAATGCAATAATTTTTCTTTTCTGCTTCAATGCTCTCATCTTAAATTCATTCAACTGAAAAATAACAGAGAGTCTTAATGTCATGTGCTCAGACACTGTGAACATTTTGCTTGGTAAGTTTCAAATTCAAACTCTATGCCTCCATTCCTCTAGGATTAGATCAGTGATTTGTAGTTTCTGAGACTTTTTGAGAGGGAAACGTGTTTAAATTTCTTGGTTTATTTAATTTCCATATTTATTTTTAAAATTAATATTAAAATCTTATTTTGAGATTTTCATATATCTAGAAAAGCCAGTTTGGAGATCAGAAGTCTAAGTTTAGGCAAAATTATGTAAAATAGTATATTAAGTATTGCATTTAATTACATAATTACCTCCCTTTCTGTCTTCAGTGATTCTATTTTCATTTTAAAGTAAAGAGCTATAAATGACATTAAATATAAGCTTTGGGCATGTGAATTACTTCATCTTTAACAATCTTCATTAAGCTTGAAATGTCTACTTTTCAATTTCCATTTGACCACAGAATAGTAGAGAGGCTGGCTGGAATTTAGATCTCTTAAAATTTCTCCTTTGGTTAACAATTCCCCTGAGCCCTGGAAAACATCTTTTGAAAGGAAAGGCTGCTTTTTGTAGCAACCTGTTTCTGCAAGAGGAAGTGGGAAATGATTTGTAATAAACTGGACAGTGGTTTTTATATTAAGCAGTTTTACATCTTCACTTGGAAGTTCAAGACAAAATACTTTTGATTCTTGGAGAATTTCATAGCCCTTGCTCTCAGCTCAGTTTACACTCATGTGTCAAGGCACTGTGTTTCTCAATGCATGGTCAGTGGTCACCTGCACTGGAATACTTTGGGGTCCTTGCTAAAAGGCAGATTCTGGGATCATCTCTGGTGGTGGGATTCGGGAATCCGTATTTTAAAATGTACACCCAGTTTTAATGTAAATACAGAAAACTGGCAGTGAACTGGCAGAGTGGATCATACTCTTATCCTATGGTCAGTGAGAGGCTTTAAAAAAAAGAAAAAGAAAAATTGACAAGGGCAGTTTTATTATTTTTCTTCCCAATCAGTACACCTTTTAAATCCTTTTCCAGTTTATTGCATTAGTTAGGACTTCCAGTATGATGTTGAAAAGGTGTGGTGAGACAGGACATCCTTGCCTTGTTCCTGATCTTAGCAGAAAAGCTTCAAGTATGATGTTAACTGTTAATTTTTTGTACCTAGATATTCTTCAGCAAACTTGGGTAAGTTTCCCTCTATCCCTAGTTTATTGAGAGTTTTAAATTATGAATGGGTGTTTGATTTTTCAAATGCTTTTTCTACATCTGTTGATACAATCTTGCGAATTTCTTCTTTAGTCTATTGATGTATCAGAATAATTCATTTCTCTCTTCTTCTTCTTTTTCTTTTTTTGACATGGGGTCTCATTCTGTCCCCTAGGCTGGAGTGCAGTGGTGTAATCTCAGCTTACTGCAATCTTCACCTCCCAGGCTCAGGTGATCCTCCCATCCCAAACTTCCAAGTAGCCGGGACCACAGGTGCAAGCCACCACCGCCTGGCTAAATTTTTTTGTATTTTCTGTAGAGATGGGGTTTCACCATATTGCCCAGGCTGGTCTCGAACTTCTGAGCACAAGCGATCCACCTGCCTCGGCCTCCCAAAGTGCTGGGATTACAGGCGTGAGCCACCACACCTGGCCTGATTTCTCAATATTGAACCAGGTTTACATACGTGGGATAAATCCCACTTTGTCATGGTGTGTAATTCCTTTTATACATTGTTAGTTTAACTTGATAATATTTTGTTGAGATTTTTTGCATCTATATTCATGAGAGATATTGAGCTGTAGTTTTCTTGTTTTGCAATATCTGTCTGGTATTAGGGTAATGCTGGCCTCATAGCAATGAGTTACAAATTATTCCCTTTGCTTCAATCTTGTGAAAGAGGTTATAGAGGATTAGTATAATTTCTTTCTTAAATGTTTGGTGGAACTCACCACTGAACTCATCTGGGTCTGGTGCTTTCTGTTTTAGAAAGTTATTATTGATCAGTTTTTATAATAGATATGAATCTCTTCAGATGGTCTAGTTCTTGTGTGGATTTTGACAGATTGTGTCTTTCAAAGAACTGTTACATTCACCTACGTTTTCAGATTTGTGAGCATAGTTGTTCATAGTATTTCTTGCTTATCCTTTTAATGTCCATTACTATTTCTGATAATAGCAGTTTGTGCCTTCTTTTTTCTTCTTAGTGTGGCTAAAAGCTTATCAATTTTATTGATCTTTTCCCAGAATCGGCATTTGGTTTCATTGATTTACTCTACTGACTTTCTTTTTTTTCTAGAGACAGGGTCTCATTCTGTCACCCAGACTAGAGTGCAGTGGCAAAATCATAGCTCACTGTTACCTTGAACTCCTGGGCTCACGCAATCCTCCTGGCTCAGCCTCCTGAGTAGCTAGGACTACAGCTAGCTACCGTAGTAGCTAGGACTATAGCATGTGCCACCACATCTGACTAATTTTCTTTTTTTTTTTCTAATTTGTAGAGACAGAGTCTCACTATGTTGCTCTGGTTGGTCTCAAACTCCTGGCTTCAAGCAGTCCTCCTGCCTTGTCCTCCCAAAGTGCTGGCATTATAGGCATGAGTCATTGTGCTCTGCTGATTTCTTGTTTCCAATTTCATGGATTTCTTCTCTAATTTTTATTTTTCTGCTTACTTTGGATTTAATTTGCTGTCCTCTTTATTTTCTTAAGGTGAAAGCTTAGATTGATTTTAGATCTTTCTCATTCTCTAATATACACATTCAATGTTATACATTTCCCTCTAAATACTGCTTGCACTGCTAAGCAGTATCCCACAAATTCTGACATCATATTTTAATTTCATTTAATTCAAAATATATTTAAATTTCTCCTGAGATTTCTCCTTTGACCCATGTGTTATATAGAAGTGTGTTGTTTAATCTCCAAGTGTTTGGGAATTTTTCAGTTATCTTTCTGTATTGATTTCTACTTTAATTCTATTATAGTCTAAGTGCAAACATTGTATAATTTCTATTCTTTTAAATTTGTTAAGATGTGTTGTGTGGCCCAGAATTTGGTTTATCCTGGTGAATGTTCTGAGCTTGAAAAGAAAGTGTATTCTGTTGTCATTGGATGAAGTAGCCTATAGATGTCTATTATATCTAATCGAAGATTTTGTTGAGTTCCACTTTTATACATTGCTAGATTTGATTTGCTAATATTTTGTTCAGATTTTTTTGCATCTATATTTATGAGAGATAATGAATTGTAGTTTTCTTTTCTTGTAATATCTTTGTTTTTGATGTTAGGGTAATGCTGGCCTCACACAATGAGTTAGTCCTTACTGATTTTTAACCTGCTGGCTTTGTCTATTTCTGATAGAGACATGTTGAAGCCTCCAACTATAACTCCAACTTCATAGTGGATGCAACTACTTTTTCTTGCAGTTCTATCAGTTTTTATTTCATGTATTTTGATGCTGTGTTCTTAGGTACATGCATGTTAAGTGTTGTTATGTCTTCTTGGAGAATGAACACCTTTATCATTATGTAATATCCCTCTTTATTCCTGATGACTTTCCTTGAAATCTTCTCCTTCTGAAACTAATATAGGAACTCCTACTTTCTTTTCATTAGTGTTAGCATGGTATATCTTTCTCTATGCACTTACTTTTTTTTTTTTTGAGACAGAGTCTCGCTCTGTCACCTAGACTGGAATGCAGTGGTGTGATCTCGGCTCACTGCAACCTCCACTTCCTGGGTTCAAGTGATTCTCCTGCCTCAGCCTCCCAAGTAGCTGGGATTACAGGTGTGCGCCACCATGCCTGGCTAATTTTTGTATTTTTAGTAGAGATGGGGTTTCACCATGTTGGCCAGGCTGGTCTCGAACTCCTGAGCTCAGGCCATCCGCCCGCCTCAGCCTCCCAAAGTGCTTGAGATTACAGGCGTGAGCCACCACGCCCAGTCCAGTTATACTTCTTTTGGTTTTTTTTTGAGACAGAGTGTTGCTCTGTTGCCCAGGCTGGAGTGCAGTGGCGCGATCTTGGCTCACTGCAAGCTCCGCCTCCTGGGTTCATGCCATTCTCCTGACTCAGCCTCCTGAGCAACTGGGACTACAGGTACCTGCCATCACGCCTGGCTAATTATTTACATTTTTAATAGAGACGGGGTTTCACTGTGTTAGCCAGGATGGTCTCAATCTCCTGACCTCGTGATCCGCCCATCTCGGCCTCCCAAAGTGCTGGGATTACAGGCATGAGCCATCATGCCCCGCCTTACACTTCTTTTTTACTTTTTTTCAGTGGTTTCCCTAGAGTTTGCAACAAACATTTACAACTAATTCAAGCCCACTTTCAAATAACACTATACCATTTCATAGGCATTATGAGCATCTTAAAATAAAATAATCCTAATTCCTTCCTCCTGTAAACTAAAAACAAAACCTACATCCTCCAACCAACTGAATGGACCCCCTCTTGGCCAAGGGGACCCCAGGGAAACCTGAAAAACTGAGTCTTGGCCATGATGGGAAGGGAGATGAGAGACGCCTCATTATACACCCTCTCTTTTAGAGTTTTAGGTACAACTGACTAGCATTAATTTTAAAATAGAGATTATAGAACTGACAGAATTAACTCTTTGTGGCAATATCAAATTAGGAACAAGACAATGCAAGGAAAGGGTTAAATCATGCCCTTCAAACCATAAAATGTTGTTTTTTAAAAAAATTAACCCTGTATAATGTGGTTTACTTTCCAAATTGACTCTGGTATAGCATCACGTGACAGATTGCAGACTCCCTTATCTTAAGCATTCCTTTATACTGACTTCAAGTCTTAAGACAGAGCTGAACTTTCAACCAACTGCCAACTAAAGAATCCCTAAAACTCACCTGTGACTTGTAAGCCTCTGCTTTGAGATGTCCTGCCTTTTCAGGCTGACCCAAAATATACCTTCTGTGTATTGATTTATGATTTTTACCTACAATTCCTGCCTTCCTGAAATGTATAAAACCAAATCATAACCCAACCACCTCAGGCACACTTTCTCAGGACCTCTTGAGACTATTCTCCTGGCCATGGTCATTCATATTGGCACAGAATAAACCTCTTTAAAATATTTTGCAGTTTTTTTCTTTCTGTTAACATTCCTTTCCCTTGTATCATTGCTGTTATTCATTTCAAGTGTATATAAGCATACACAATTAAATACACTGTAGCTATTATTAATTTTTGAACAAACTATTATCTGTTAAATCAACTAAGATGAATATGTTGGGTACAGTGGTGCATGCCTGTAGTCTCAGCTACTCAGAGGCTTAGGCAGGAGGATTGCTTGAGTTTAGGAGTTTAAGACCTGCCTGGGCAGCTTAGCAAGATCATGTCTCCTAAAAAAAAAAAGAGAAAGAAAGAAAAAGCAAGTTTTGGGAGGCTGAGGCAGGAGAATTGCTTGAACCCAGGAGGCGGAGGTTGCAGTGAGCTGAGATCACGCCATTACACTCCAGCCTGGGCAACAGAGTGAGACGCTGTCTCAAAAAAAAAAAAAAAAAAAAAAAAGTTTTTATTTTACCTTCACTTATTCATTCTTGGATGTTCTTCCTTTATGTAGATACAAGGTTCTGACCTATGTTATTTTCTTTTTCTCTAAAGAACTTCAAATGTTTCTTGCAAGGCAGGTCTACTGGTAACGAATTCCCTCAATTTTTGTTTGACAAAGTCTTTATTTCTGCTTCACTACTGATGGATAATTTCATAAGAGTGTTCCTTTTGTAGATTCAGTCTTCTTATCCTTCCCTTCAGAAATATTCTTTGACCACCTATTGGGTCCCAGGCACTGCACTAGAGCTTTACCTCTAGTTAATTCCCACAACAATTCTGAGAGGTAGGTGGGTATCATCTTCCTAGATGCAAACTCAGAATTCAGAGAGGCAAAGTGATGAGACTGAAGGCACACAGCAAGTAAGTGGCAGAACCTAGATTAAAACTCATTCTTAAAACTTTGGCTTCCCTTCTCTTTTCTAAAATGGATTCAGTTACTTCTTCCCACTCACCTTTATCAATTTACATTTCAGGATAAAAGTCTTCATGTTGGCACTCAATGCGCCTTAACAAGAAGATGCCCACAAGAAGGGTTTGATCATCAGGACAGCAAACTGTCTCTTCAAGAGAAAAATTGTGAACCTGTGGTAGGTTGAGATCCTTCATAAGGGTATTTTCATGAATGGCTGTTTTTAACTCAAGTGAATACAATGATTTCCATTTAAAAAGCAAGAACAATGTGAATGTACTCGTTGCCACTGAACTATATATACCTAAAAATGGTTAAAATGGCAACTTTTTTGTGTATTTTATGAGAATAAAAAATAAATAATAATAAAAACAAACAACAAGGGAAGCACAGGGATTTTCTTAAATTGTGTTGTCACATACCCAGAGTTTCCAGGGTCAATAATGAGAGCCCTACATGTAAGATCCAAAGGAAGAACTTAGTCCTGGATACAATATTCTTTTATGTTTTTAGTCATATTTGCCTTTTTAATGGATGTAGATATATGCAGAGGGGAGGGATAAAGTACCTATTATTTATTGTATAGAGCTGTGCTGTCTGATGGCTTAGCCACTAGTCACGTGGTGCAACTGAACACTTATAGGAGTTTAAAATAAGATGTATTATAATACATACCATATTTCAAAGATATTAGTATGTGGAAAAGAAGATAAATGGTTCACTAATTATTTTTATATTGATTCATTTTGAAATAAATATTCTGATAATATTAGGTTAAATAAAACATTTTAAGATTAATTTTACATGTTTCTTTTTTTAAATGTAGCTACTAGAAATTTTAAAATTACATATGGCCGGACATGGTGACTCACACCTGTAATCCCAGCACTTTGGGAGGCCGAGGTGGGTGGATCACCTGATCTCAGGAGTTCAAGACCAGCCTGGCAAACATGGTGAAATCCTGTCTCTACTAAAAATACAAAAATTAGCCAAGCGTGGTGGTGCACACCTGTAATCCTAGCTACTCTGGAGGCTGAGGCAGGAGAATCACTTGAACTCAGGAGGTGGAGGTTGCAGTGAACCGAGATAGTGCCACTGCACTACAGCCTGGGCAACAAGAGTGAAACTCCATCTCAAAAATAAATTAATAAAATAAAATAAAATTACGTACCATATTTCTATTGGACAGCACTAGTACGTATACAACACAGTATAATGGTTGAGAGCACTGACTCTGGAGCCAGAGTACTGTGTTTGATTCTTACCTCAACAACTTACTAGTTGTGTGACAATGGGCAAGCGAGTTAACCTCTCTGTGCTCTGGTTTCCCATTCTGTAACATGAAAACAATAAAAACACTCCCAGAATTGTTGTGAGCATTAAATGAAGCCCTGACACATTTATTCTGGATACAATATCCTCTTGTTTTATATTTGGTAGTGTCAATGTGCCTTTAGACACAATTACAAGGATCTCTGTGGTAAAGATGCAATGTATATAGTGTCGGTAAATAGCATTCAATGATTTGTTTGTTAGGGCTTGAGATTTTTACTGTCATGGAAAATCCAGGTATAGCTAAGCTTTTGAGATTTGGGGAACCCCTTAACCCTATTTTTCCCTACTCTTGCCCCCAACAATCAGCATATAAACTTGTGAAATTTAACAATTACTTCACTGGGCAGAAATTATATGTGAACACTTAGAAATTTCAGTCCACAGGGAAACTATAAATATGTTAACTATTTTAACTTAATCCTTTCCTAGAAACATATACACTGTTACCAAGACCAAATTCTCCCTTTCTTGTTCTCACAGGTTCCCAATGCTCCACCTGCTTATGAGAAACTCTCTGCAGAACAGTCACCACCACCTTATTCACCTTAAGAGCCAGCAAGACACCTGAGACATGCTGAAATTATTTCTCTCACACTTTTGCTTGAATTTAATATAGACATTTAGTGTTCTCCTTTGGAATGGTGTAGGAAAAATGCACGCCATCTCTAATGATAAGTCAGTGTTAAATTTTTAGTAGGTCAGCTAGCAGCACTAATCATGTGAGGAAACAATGAGAAATATTAAATTGGGAAAACTCCATCAATAAATGTTGCAATGCATGATACTATCTGTGCCAGAGGTAATGTTAGTAAATCCATGGTGTTATTTTCTGAGAGATAGAATTCAAGTGGGTATTCCTGGGCCATCCCATTTCTCTTTACTTGAAATTTGGCTAACAACAAACTAGTCAGGTTTTGAAACCTTGACCAACATGAACTGTACACAGAATTGTTCCAGGTGAGTCTTTACTATGGGGTGCTCACAAAGGATACTTCTATAGGTTTAAGACAAAGAGCTGACTGGCCTATTTATCTGATCAAGAACATGTCAGCAATGTCTCTTTGTGCTCTAAAATTCTATTACACTATAATAATATATTGTAAAGATCCTACAGCTTTCTTTTTTTTTTTTTTTGCGTAGTGGGAGGGAGTTTTGCTCTTGTTGCCCAGGCTGGAGTGCAATGGCGCGATCTTGGCTCACCGTAACCTCCGCCTCCCAGGTTCAAGCAATTCTCCTGTCTTAGCCTCCCGAGTAGCTGGGATTACAGGCATGCGCCACCATGCCCGGCTAATTTTGTATTTTAAGTAGAGATGGAGTTTCTGCATGTTGGTCAGGCTGGTCTCAAACTCCTGACCTCAGGTGATCCGCCCACCTCAGCCTCCCAAAGTGCAGGGATTACAGACATGAGCCACCACACCTGGCCAGACCCTATATCATAGGTAAGACATATAATGCAGTCTAATTACATTTCACTTCAAGGCTCAATGCTATCCTAACTAATGACAAGTATTTTCTATTAAACCAGAAATTGGTAGAAGGATTTAAATAAGTAAAAGCTACTATGTACTGCCTTAAATGTACCTATGGCAATTTAGCTCTCTTGGGTTCCCAAATCCCTCTCACGAGAATGTGCAGAAGAAATCATAAAGGATCAGATATTCTGGAATGGTGTCATTATTTGCATAGCAACATTGCAATTTGTTTTCCTTTGGCCACATCAACATATCACCTACACTATTATTTATCTAATATTTATCTTTCAGGCAGCTCGTTTAAACTTTTTTTTGGCTTTAATTTCTATTGCCATACTAAGTGGAAAACCAGTATCATTTTCCATAGTAGAGGATAACTATAAAAATGAAGATAATGAAAGTAATTTTTT